TTTCTAACGTGCTCGAGCCCTCAGAGATGTTCAAAATGAGTCTTTCTAACGTGCTCGAGCCCTCAGAGATGTTCAAAATGAGTCTTTCTGACGTGCTCGAGCCCTCAGAGATGTTCAACGTGAGTCTTTCTGACGTGCTCGAGCCCTCGGAGATGTTCAAAGTGAGTCTTTCTGACGTGCTCGAGCCCTCGGAGATGTTCAGAATTAGGGGCCTACTCACCCTCGGCGCCGGAGGTACCACCAGGCTCCGTCCACCCGCCCTCCCGCGCAGCCCCCCTGGTTACGCGTGTCACAGGCGATGAGGTTTTGGGGCGACAGCTGGGGGGTCATGTGACCCATCGACTGGATGGAGATTCTGTCTGAAGCCACGGCTAAAGAACGAGAGACCACGTTCAAACGGAGAATAGGCTGTTTATTGTCTGATAAATGTTTAATCCCACTGGTGTTTTTTGTCCCTGGGGGTTTTGCTCTTACTGTTTTTTTTTATCTTTGAGTTTGTCTTGTGTTGTGGTGATAATTGTGTTTTATGATCTGCTCAAATGACCTGTACAGCGCTTTGATTTTAGCTTTGGCTGACTGAAAGCGCTTTATAAATAAAGTTGAGTTGAGTTGAGTTGAGTCCCTGGGGGTTTCTCTTCGGGACCCACCTGCTGTGGAAAAGGCCCAGGAGGCCGCACAGTTCCCCTGATCCAACGGCTCGTGGATCTTCCCCGGCCACTTCTCCACGGAGTTGAAGTAGAGCGGCAAGCGCTCGCTCTGAGGATCCATGTTCATCTGCAGGAAACACAGACTGAGCGGTCAGCATTTTCTCAACACACTTTCAGGCATTTTATTCCCTCTGCTGCTTCTCTAAGTAGGTTAACATGGTTTGTTTTGTAGAGGGAATCCTACCATTTTCAACTATTTTCTCTTTATATAAGTTTAAAAAAAATGTTCTGTATAATTGTTTATTTTATTTTGTTTATTTATTATTAGGATCCCCATTAGCTGTGCTTTACACCCATCTACTCTTCCTGGGGTCCACATCATTAAAAAATACAGTATACAATGTAAATTCATGAACATGTTTGACAGATGAAAAATATCATATACATATCAATAAGACTGAACATTCATAGAAAAGGGGAAAGTTAAAATTTAAAATGTAAGATTTTACCATTTTATGCTTAAGTTACAATAAATTAGAA